AGGGCTCGTTTGGTTTAGGGTTTAGGGTCTATAGGGTTTAGGATATCGAATACAGGGTCTGGAGTTTAGGGTTTAGGGATGTTTCTGCAGCTTGTGGTTGTACTTGAACACATTTCTCTGTGCTGATGTATTGTATCTGGCGATTTGGAGATGTTTTTTGTTTTCTAAGGGCGTGTGTGTGCGTGTGTGTGTGCGGGTGTGTGTGTGTGTGTGTCTGTCTGTGTCTGTGTCTGTGTGTGTGCGTGTGTGTACGTGTGCATATGTGTGTGTGTGTGTGGCCGTGTGTGGGTAGGTCCGTTCCTGTCACTGGCCACGGCCCACGTGGCACCCACCGAATTGAAATTCCACTTAGACTTCGGGCAGCCGTTAGTACAGACTCGGCAAGCTGAAATCATCTGATTTCGGGCTTGTGGCAAAGACCGCAACGTACAACTTGCTTGGACAGCGGACACAGTGTGGCTACGGTCTTGTTGTTACTCATCGTCAATCTTTGCGTTCAATGTGCACTACTCTCAAATCGCCACCAACGTACAGAAATATGGAACAAACCCCTGCGATGCTTGCTTCCACAGCTCATTCTTGTGCTTCTTCCAATGGGCCCGCTGGCACGATCGACTGCAGTAAACGACCTTGGATGAATCCCGAGTGAGAATGGAAAAGTTCAAGGACTGTCTTCGAGGATCATTCTTTTAACGCGAATTAAATTAACGCGCTAGCATCGGCTAAGGAAGTCTTAGCGCTTGTCTCGTCCCACCTGGGGGACTGTTTTCCCAGCCAGGAACATCGTTGACATGCCTCATTTACTAAGACTGCATGGCCCAACCATCTTCATTCCCGAATCCCTTGTGGGATCTTTGAGGCGGGCTCTAGCGCTTCTCCACGAGACGCAGATAGATACGCGCAGCTGCTTGCCCAATCTCGCTGCATTGCAAGAGCCAGAGCAGTCCCGAAAACGCATTGTCATTGTTCCTCTATCGAGTTGCACATCGGCATCTGGCGCAAGTCCTGGGCTACAGATGATTGGGTCAACGGCTTCGGGTCTCGGCCATGGATCGTGGACTCGCCCCGGGAGGTGTCCCGATTGAATCGACTCCCACAAAACTCCGGAGGGCCGGAGGGCCCCATATCTAAAGCACGGCGAATAGATTCGCTTGAACTTGAAGTTCCGCCCCAGCCTTGTTAGGGCGTGTTCGTCTAGACTCTCACAGCTCATCGTAGTGGCCATGTGAAGTCACGGTGCCCGCTGGAAGAGACCGGCTTTACTCGAGCATAACCCCCAAACGACATACGTTCCAGGCGTCAAACATGCGATATCAGGTGGCCTCGGTGGTTTGTCTCTTGCGAGGCCCTTGCAGCTGGCCGAAACTAGGTTAAGCTGTCTGACTATGGTCCTAGCAGAACTGTTGCTGAACATGACCTGGGAGAGGCATGGTCGGCTCTGAGCTGCAACAGAGATGGGAGTTATGCCCGTCTTTGACTTGGATACTTAGTGACCGTGTTCTTTCCGCTTCAACATGACCCCGACATGTTTACCCCACGAGCCGTTTGAAACCCCGCTTCCACTTTACAGTCTGAACCTTGCAGATCCCAAGATGGAGATGATCTCCAGACCCTAGAGTGCATTTCTCACCATTCGAGGCTCAAATCGGCTTCATCGGTCCGGCCGCACTCAGCGCAGCACGTCAGCCGGCCCATCAGACAGGCTGGGTTGTTTCGTGATCGTAGGGTTGCAAGACTATGACTCTCCAGTGAACTCTATACCTTGGAACACGAACCTTCAGAAGGCTCCATTAAAAAAACATGGAGAGTCTCTGCACAAGTGCATCAGACATGATTGGAGGTTCGGGTTGGGTAAGGGCTCAGGGCCGAGAGCATGGTGCTGTAGGATCCCGAAGACGATACTGCAAAGCTCTGCTGAGCAGAAGCATGCGGCACCATGCAGTAGTCCTACTTACATCCTGAGGAGCGTAGTCAAGTCTTACCAGGGACATACAAGCATGATGGTGTTTGACTGAATCATACTCAGAGCATGCTTCCTCAGTAAACCTGGTCAGCAACTCATCGCACTAAACAGGATCTCTGACGGGTGATGTTAGCTCATGGTGCTATCGCAGCGGAGGTAAAGCCTGAAGTCTTCAGGAAGGCATTATGTACTTATGAGCTCAAGCCCGGTCTCAGCTGCTGTTCTGATCTCCCAGATTCACAAAAGACCTTTACAACGACAACTGTCGTCAGCTTTCTTTCCAGAACGTGTCGCATTGCTAGACACATCTTTGGGCTTTAACATCCCGCTTTCAGAACTCATTGATGGGGGTACCGAGCCAATCCGAAATCTAGCCTTAGTATGTTCTTCTTACATCTTCTAGCTGTTTCTACATGTGTAAGGTTCTTCTTTAGTTCGACATAGGGAGTGTTGCTTTTGCAAGAGATAGTCACAGCGTCGGATTGTACTTTTGGATTTACCCTCAACCTTATGTAAACTTGAAAGACATAAACCCAACAGTTTTGGGGGCTCTGTTTTGTCTCTACTAGTCGTTTCCATCATTTCCAAGGCCATACATCCGCACCTGAGCAAAGCAACTATGTAATTATGTTCTAGCTTGTCCTAGCTTTCTGTAGGCGACTGTGAGAAGGACATAGGATGCTATAGGGCTAGATCTTGCTAGTTTTTTCGGTTTGGCTCCGACGACGACTGCAACGGGCTGACCCTAACGTGTTCCTATAATCTTTATTCTGCTGACCTTCAATCGATCTGGAATATGTATACAGTACTTCCTGGAAGTCTTGTTCTGTTACTTTCGGTCGTTTCGCTGTGCAATTGGTTCCTCGCAGAAAGCCATGGTGCTGGAAGGGCTTTACCAAGACGCGGGCCATGAGTCGCTCAAACTCATACTTTGCTGACCGTGCTCGTAGCCGCAAACAAGATGACGAACCAGTCAACCCTTGACCTCTATACAAAAAGTGCAGCCGGGCCACGTCCCGATATCCTGTGGCTGATTGGGATTTGTCTTGCGTCGACTACATGCATCGTAACTAGCCACGACGCACAATAATGCAAAGTGTGCGTGGCACACGTACGGCTGCGCTCCGCGATACTGCGCTGATACCGAAACAACATCGCGCGATCTCGTGCGAAACACCAGGAACATAGACTCCATGAATCTGCATGAGTCCCTGAGTCGTGGCTCAGCTGTTTCACACATGGGACTGCATGAAACAACACAATGTCACTATGCACGGCATCAGCAGCGCTGGAAGGACCCGCAAAACAAATTCAGAAGTCGGTAGATCCGTGCTGCGGCAGCCAAGTTGCGTGTCGATACTTGGATCGAAAGTTTTAGCAATGCCGGGTCATCGTTTAATATGCAGAGTTTCTCTAAGGCGTTTAGGGTTCAGAAGGCTAGAAAGGTTGTGGACTTTCGGGTGTTTAAGGATTTGATGGCTCAGGGTGTTAGGGCGTACACCATCCGAATACGTATGAGACATGGCACCGAGCACTTTCTCCACTGGGCTGGGACCTCTTCACTGGTTGCCTGCAGTGCTCCGCTTGGCTTCCACCTGCTCCTCTCAAGGCTCTGAGTAGATGTAAATGTAGTTGCGAGATCCCTGCTGATCATAACTAATAACCCGACTTACTAATCCCCTGATCCTTCTCAAGCAGTGGAAAGCACAGCATGGTATCAGCCTCCACTTCGTATGTTCGAATAGGCAGGCACGGCTTCCGAAATGGATCTGGGCGAGACTGTTGCATCTGACGGGTATCGGAAAGTCGCACGAGTCACGAGACCTGAAGCTAGGGCCCCGTCGATTATGTCAGTTCACTTATGCGCTCCGTATCGTGTGCGACGCATTTACAAAACGCGGATTGTCCAGAATGAAGCCTCCGTCGATGTTGGCGACCCTGCCTTGAGGAGAATTGTAAAAGCAAAGCTCTTCCGGCTCTGCCCTGAGCTGGGTCCAAGCCTCCGGCCCAGGTGGCGGCAGCATCACAGGGCGCCCGGACATCTCACGCATGATGCCAGCGCGCATCAAGCACCCGGATCCCCTGTAACGGTGGTAGTGGACCGTGATCCAGTGTCTGAAAGTCCGCAACATGCAGTCGTCAATAAAATCTGCGTGGGTCGCAAGAATAATTCGATAGACCTTCCGCTCAAGAACGTCCAGCACCTCTGGATCCTTCAGCAGCTGCTGCTCCTTATCTTGAATGTCGATGTGCAAAAGATCCAGATGGTCTATTAAGGACATGAGCCGAAGAAAGAGAGCAAGCAGCATCGGCCTTGGTGCACAACACTCGTCCATGCATACCATTGAGTTTCAGCACTCTGTGCGTGCCGGCGCACTCCACTCGCCCTGGCTCCACAGCTAATAGCTGGTATGGCAGGGGATTCCGAAGACGGAGCAAGGCAATGGCCCGTGTGGCCCAAGGTGCCCAGCGCGCCCCAAGTTCCATTATGTTGAATGATATGCGTGCTCGGAGGGCGGACTGGTAGACTGCGACCATCTCACTGTATTCCTCATCGACGACGGGCAGATGCAAATGCACATGCGAAAAGCTGGACTTCAGAAATGCTTCGTGTTCATGGCAGGCATGCCATCGGCTGGGCAAGTAGTGGTAGTAGCGATATGTGCCATAGGGGCACCGAGATGGGCCACGGGATTTCGAATCCCACTGGCTGACGTTGCACAGATTCTCGCAGTCAAAGTGCACAGGCACCCTCAGACCGTTCAGCTCGGTAAGGATGCCCCTCTCCACCAAATATGGTCCCACAACTGCCTGTCGCATGACCGGATGATGAGGGAAGCTCCTGCCATCTATGGGATTGAAAGCATACTCCGTCTGGCCTGCACACACCCTGAGCAGCCAAACCCAGATAGTAACATGCCGTGGCATCCTCCAGCTCCGGCGAAATACCGCAGAAGGTTTTGATAACAACTTAAGGGTTTAGGAAAGCCGGTGCAGCCGGGAAGGTCCTTAACAATACTGTATGTGCTTTGCGTTCTTCGCCAGTGCAAGATGCAGACCGTGTGGGGTACGTCCCAGCCGCACAGTACTAGAGTACCACATGATGTTGCAGGTTCATGATGGTGAAGATGGAAGCTTCGGTCGTCATAAGTAATCACTGCCTTATGCGCTGCTTTATTGACCAGATTTTTGCCATTACCACTATCAGCTTGAGGAAATAGCGCTGGTTATTGTTGTAGTCACTGTTGTACTTTGTATTGGTATAACGGTATAACAGTGCACCGCGAGATTGCTATTCCTGTTGCGCTCTTGTGCAAGACTTCCTTCGGGCTTGAGTTGGACTGGATCTAAGTGCGATCGCAGGAAAAGAGGAGTCTGTGTCCTGCCAGAAGCTTCGACTAAACTTGAAGTGTCGACTCGGTGTTCCCACGTCGGACTCAGTCCAGGGCAGCTAACAGCAATTCTTGCGGGAAATGTCACAACGAGTGCGGGATGGGGTTGTGTCATGATAGTTTGGACTGTGTCAATGGGTCTGTCTCGACAACGCTTGAAGGCAACAAAAGCTTCTGAATAATGTTTGTCAACATGGGTCAATGCGTCAGAAGCATTCCCGACGTTCCAAGTTACACGGATGCTTCCGACATTGCTGCAGTCTTCCAGGTCAAAGAGTTTGATTCTGGAGCACGTGACTGAAACATGTTATGTAGACGATAGAAGCATTTATTATACCGCAATATTCACGACTGGCCGACCCAGTTGGGTTTCATCCCCCCCACGTCCCTGGCGTGGAAGGCCGCATCCAGCTTCTTTGGCATTCTCCTTGCTCAAGCTTGAGGGGAGAGGAAAATGCAAAAACCCTACACCCTACACCCAAGTTTGGGTTTCTGCTAGCCGAAGAGGATGTGGGGCCTAAGGTTCAACTGCGGAGCTCGCATCACCACACATACATACACGGGAAATCCAAGGTCACGCACTGGGCATGGTACATATTGCAACATCTCCCCGAGGCGGAATGTTCCGAACACACCGCTCAAAAGAAGCCGCCCAGAATGTGCCCTGCTTTCTTCCTCTGCACCTTCGATGAGGTGGAGGTCACGACGCTTCACCTCACAAGAAGCCTTTCAATCAGGAAACTGGAGGAGTATAGTAAACCCCAAAAAAGTCGGAAACCGGATTAAGGACGCTTAGTGTTGGGATTCCCTATATACATTGCTCTCATGGATTAAGGTCATTGGGTTTCCAACTTTTTGGCTTCTACTGTAAGTCGCCTGCGATTTAGCTTGCTCAGTATCCGTTCCCGTGCACTGGTTGCCTCGGACTGGTCCGCGACTCCATGCAGAAATCCTGGAGGCAGGGCCACGGTGCTCCGGAAATGGAGCCCTCAGATTCAGATCCCTAGTAGGGGTTGCCTTGAGCTCGTCTAGGACTCTAGACTCGGTTGTGGTCGTGTGGTGCGTTGTCATGCAGGTACAGCACAGGTTGAACAGCACCGTGACATTGCGAGGGGAGCTCGAATAGCAAGGTGCTAAATCTAAGCCTAAGCCAACACCAGGAGCGGCTACATACACTATTGCCAGAGCGACTTGGCATGTTATGGTACACAGTTTCATACTTAAGATCTGCCATTACATGCCAAATTCCCTGTTTGTTTGCCACCGAGGACCGAGAACCCATTTGCTTAACCGCAAGTTCTTCATGAAACAGGCTGAAGCAAGTTAGACTAAACATGATGAACTATATTGAGCAAGTGACGGTATGTGCTTTAATTTTAAAATGGCTGTATCCTGATGTCAGAAGCTGCCAGTACCGCACAGTACGAAACCTTCTTCCTCCCCTGCTTTCACTCACTGAGCTGCACACTGTCTGAATGTATGCTGAGAGCATGGAACTAATCGCATGCTCTCAGCTGAGCTGTCGGAAGTGCGCCGGGCCCATGGGTAACCCTGCACCGCAAGCCGAAACTGCGGCAGCTGGGTCCACTTGTGTCGAGTCAAATCAACTCACAGAGCCCGCCGAATCATCATCATCTATCCATATTTCATAGGTCTGTCTCTATCCAGATTTCCGTACAACAGGGGGTCTTACAGTAACGAAGGACCATGCGAGGAAGGAGCAATTCGGGTTACCCGTGCTACAGGCTAGAACTGCCTGCTGCATGTGTGCGATGTTGCAGCCTCCGAACGAAGCCAATGATGGCACTTCATCTAAACATTCTACATACATACATACATTTCTAGCACTCGCACTCGACGCATCAGGCGAGGTGTAGAGGGAACCACATACACACATACACACATACACACATACATACATACATACATACATACATACATGCATACATGCATACATACATACATACATACATACATACATACATGAGCCCGATACCTTGAGGGTCTATATAACCACGTTTTGTTGTCTTCAGTACATAATGGAAAGTTAAATACAATATCGAAACACATCCCGCATCACCAGCCATAACCCGAAAAGTTTCAGACCGACCGTGATATATTGTTGAATAAATAATTCAAGGTTATCATTCATATTAGGGAGAAGAATGTT